AATTGGTGCACCTTTTCTCCCTTGGGGTTTAATCCAGGTCTCGCTAGGAGCTTTCGCTGAGGGAATATAACTCCTAGGTTTAACATGCGAGTTTCCCATAGCTCTCCTTGGGTCCCTAGTTGTAAGGAACCTTTGATTGTGTGTCTTGGTCCTGTTTTTCTCTAACTGTAGCTTTTGGAAATTTTTAGCAGCTATTTTGTCGGTCAAAGCGCCACATCTAGGACACAAGCAAGCTTGTGAACCTTTATTCTTACAATGGTAAAGGAAGTCTAGAAAATATTCCTCAGGCCTTGGGTACACATCTGCTAGGCCGACATCAGGGCTTTCTCCAGTGCCCTCTTCGACCATATTGTCTTCAAGGAATTCAGTAATCTCCACCATGTTGATGCCCACTGGGTCGAGGAACAAAGCATCCTCTTGCCTAAGAGGATCAATATCAATCTTCATCTTTCTTGCAACAAACTTCAGCCTGCCCTCTTGTAGTGACTTTTGCACGAGATCCCTGAAAAGGTAACATTGAGAGGTTGTATGACCAAGATAATTATGAAATTTACAAAAACCTCTTTTCTGTCGTTGTTCTAATGGTGGTAATTTAGCACATGGGGTACTAAAATTTGACCATCTTTAACAAGTAAATAAAAAATTTCTTCACACTTAGTGACATCAAACATATAAGTTTTTGCTGGGAATTTTGGATTATTTTTGACCGTATTCTTTCCCTTAGCAGAAAATAATAATTTACATTCTTAGGCTGGCCCTGGCTTCATTTCAGCCAAGTCGACCTCTGCCTCTGTTGGTGAGGTATAGTCGGCCTCACAAATGGGAATTGTGTCATCATAATCTATGAAGGCTACTTTTTCTTTTCTAGTCTTAGCCTTAGTATGTCTGACTTTTTCTAGTCACAGACGCTCTAGATGTCGAACTCTATCAGCTAGCTGTGACATACTTTTCACGAAGGTTGGATCTATTTTCTTTCTAATGGAATAATCTAAACCTCCAGCAGCCATTTGAACAAGCTCATGTTCTGGAACTTGAGTAAAGCATCTTTCTTTTAATGACCTAAATCTGTTTAGATAATCATCAATGGTTTCAGCAAACCTTCTTTTAATGTTTGATAATTCGACCAAACTAATTTTCAAATGACCCTCATAAAATTGTTCATGGAAAAGTTTTTCCAACATCGTCCATGAGTCAATCGAATGTTGGGGTAAAGTGGTAAACCACGTGAAAGCTACCTTAGTAAGGGAAGAAGGAAAGTGCTTTACCCTTAAGTTTTCATTATTCGACATATCTCCAAATTCATTTAGATATCTGGCAATATGCTCCACCGTCGACTCTCCAGATTCTCCCCCAAACTTTGTATACTTAGGGATTTTCCATCCTCTAGGGTTTTTAGTATGTAAAATATATTCAGATAAAGGGGAGGAATATGTTGGCCTTTGAAGTGCGGTATTCATGCCATTTCTGGCCATAATTCTTTCGACAATGGTGGTTAAATTATTTTCAATGACTAAGTTTTCTTGTCGAATTTGCTCGAAAATTTGATCAACCTCTTGATGTCGATCTACTAATACCCTGGGTGGATCGACCATCAAATTCCTTGGAGGCACTACCATTTGCCCCTGATGGACAGTTTCATCATGTATTGCCCCCATGTCTATTTGACCAGGGGCATCTAGTCGAACAGGTGGTGCATGTCGAATAGGCACTGGGGGAGCACCTAAAAAATTACATAAACGTGTTAATTGGGTAATCACCTGTCGATTTGTTTCAGCGGACTGCCTATTAGTCTCAGCCGACTCTTGTACTATGGGATATAATACATTACCCATCTGGTTAGTTAACATATTAACCAACTCATGGTTACTATCATCCATTTGTTGCCTTAATACTGCTACTTAAGTATTAGTAAGAGACGGTACTAAGGGTTGAGAAGGCGCTACCCTGTTTTGGTTGCCTCTATTATTTCCTCCTGACGCAGATCCTTGTAAAGGAGAGTTCAAATTTTGAACATTATCTGACGCCACTACTATATTCGATGTCGACTGATATCCTGGCATCATGGAATAGGGCATTCCATAAGCAGGATCTACATTACCAAAACGAGGCACGTTAGGTATGGAAGTCATAGTCATTACTGGTCTTGGGCTTCCCGGTGGAGCCTGAGACATTTGTACAGAAACCGCAGCAGTCGACCCTACTGGAGGAAAAAGTGCTACCTGTGAAACTACTGGATCAGTAGTGATTAAAGTTCGTGACGGTATTTCGTCTACGTTTGGATTATCGGGACTTGTCATTCTTGATATTTTCTTCCTAGATAATGGTTTATTATACTCTTTGGTTAACTTCCCATTTCTAAGTTGCATTCACTTATAAATACTCAAGACCAATTCTTAGCACTGGGTCCCATCAGGTGTGCCAATTTGTTTACTGTAGAAAATGGTAAACAACCGCTGGTCTTTCCAGAGTCCTAAACTAAGGGTAACTTGTGAGATCGACCAGTTGATCTCAAGACACATGCTAAGAGTTTTTGCTATCCCACCTATTTCGTCGAAATATCAGTCAAGGGAAACGAATTTCTTTTGACTGGAGAAACGGGTGTAATGGTTTTCCACACTATGGTTTAATCGACAGACTGGTAACTCGTGACCGACAGAAAATTTTCGTATAAAAAAACGAGACTCACTAAACTAACTGACAGGTGACTCGTGACACACAGATAGTGTCGAATTATTTATGCAAAATAGAAGATAACGTATAGATCTTGCTCGACAGTAAAGAGAAAACAGATAAAGCACTCAAAAGATATAACTGAAAAATAAAAGATTTGCATTGAAATAAAAGTGGTGATTCACGTACATCAAGCACTCTTCACTCTTGATTTCCCGACGCTCGGAATGAGAGAGTTTGACAAGTGATTTAAGAGTACAAGTGAACACCCCTAAACTACATAAAATCTGCCTATTTATAGTGTTTACAAAGTAACTACCTAGATAAAATCTACGACTAATATTAACATCTTGAGGTAACTGCTTCACTAGATGTTGTCACCTCTTTGGCGCTCAAACACGTCGTGGATTTCTAGTAACTGCTCATAATTTTGAAGTTCCACTTATTTGGCACTTGAGCACGTCGTGGGTTGCTGGTAACTGCCCACGTTTCCTCTAAGCTTCTTGAACATAAACCGCTTCTGCCTTGCTTCGACGCTTTCTTTCTGGCAAAGAATAATCATGTTTTCTCTAAGTCCAAGAAACCCTTCTTTGTCGACTAATACTGTTCTCGACCAATTCCTCCTCTTTTACCCTTTTGATCGACTAAACCAATTTAATCCTCCTGACATATCCTTTTATTTCTTTCTAGTCGACGTAGTTCAATTTTCGACAGTTTCAATGTGGTTTCTTCCAAGCATTAACTCTGACTTAATAAAACCAACTTTTCACACACTGGCTCCTGTTTCCCAAAAATCCTTATTTTGGAGGATGACTCCTAACTTATGAGAATATTTTCATTTATCACATGTACTTGAATTCCTTAAGATTTTCCAAGGTAACAATGGCTTGGTTAACAAACAAGGGATAATTCCTAAAGCTAATCGAAAAAAAAACTTGCCTAAACCTAAAGGAGTAATCAATTCACCAAAGATTCAAACACAAAATTCCAATTAAACTTCTTCTGAATCCCAAATTTCACACCAAAGCATATCACTTATTAACACAACATTATTCGAACTCTTTTTGTTTTTGTTTTTCAATTTTTTCTTTCTTTTTCTATCTTTTCTTTTTTCACATTTTTTTTCTTTTTCTTTTCAACCTCATAGCAATCAACCAATAAACACACCATCATTTTTCTCTCCAACTTGAATCCAACCATCATCATAATGTGAATACTCCATACTTTCTAAGACAAGGTAAAAGTTCAACTACAAATCATAGTTAAGGGTTCAAGAAAACAAAGAATCAACATCCATGCAAAAGGGAAACTAAACACTCATAGACAAACATTTAGCAAAAATAACATAGATATCGATAAAAAACTCAAAGGGTTATAAACTCACTTTCTTGCATTCATACAATCAACACAAATAAAAGATTAAAGTTTTGTGGTCTCCAAATTTAAAGATTAAGTTGAGTGCAAAAAATAAAATAATTACAAAATATCAACAAAAAATTTGAGTGTGCCAACTCAACTTCATTTAATACCAAATCAACATAAAGAGTTTAGTGGTTGATAAGACGATTTTACCTTTACAATTAATCAACTTAAAGCTTTTAATTAAAATAATTATAGTGTAATTATCAGATACTTTTATGTTTATATATTTATAATAAATAATTCTAAAATAATAATGAAAAATCAAATCACAATTTAAAAACATTATAAATATAAATTTGGTTGCCCATTGATTTTAACGTCACTTCTCCATGTTTAATAGAATTTAATTAGTATAGATAAACAACGTAAAAAAATATTATACTGATAATTAACTATGACCATTAAATTTTAAATGAATGTGGAATGTACAAAGAAATTTAGAAGAATCAAAGAATAAATCTATATTGTTCGAGTGATAAATAGTCTTAATACATAGGTTAGGCATAGTGGCATAGTGGCATAGTGGCATGGATGAGAAAAGATCAATGAGAATGAGTAGTCAAGGGTAGAAAAACAGTGTTATGGTGAGATAGAAGAGGTTCCAATACGCAACACTTATTGATCCATAAATTCTTACCAACCCACTAAAAAGAGTAGTTGGATAATATTATCGAAAAAAACATGTCATGGAAAAACAATAGCGATAGATATGTCGCATCAACAAATTCAACGTTGACCAAAGAAGTTGAAAACTGCAGCCTTGTTAGACTAGAAGAATGTTGAGTGTAGAAAATAGTTGAAATCCAAATGATACCTCAAAACATTCTCGTCACGAAATTCGAAATTCGAAATTCTTCATTCACATATTGAAATTTCTTGAATTAATTATATTCCCTTATCAACACAAAATGATCATTATTCGTACCATGCTTGGTATTACAAAGCTACTAGTATTATTTTTCTTTAAATTTTCTTCTGCAACCGATACCATTACACAATCACAACCACTTTCTGATGGCAGCACCTTGGTATCTAAGGATGGAACATTTGAATTGGGTTTCTTCAATCCTGGTACTTCCACAAACCGCTATGTTGGAATTTGGTACAAAAATATCCCAGTAAGAAAAGTTGTTTGGGTTGCAAACCGTGATAATCCAATCAAAGACAGTTCAAGCAAGTTGATCATAAGTAATGAGGGAAACCTGGTACTTCTAAATCGGAATCAATCAATTATATGGTCAACAAACACACGAGAAACAACAAGAACAACATCAAAGATTCCAATTGCGCAACTATTAGACAATGGAAACTTAGTACTCAAAAAAGACGGTGAAGAGGATTTTCTATGGCAGAGCTTTGATTATCCGAGTGATACAATATTAGCAGGAATGAAAGCTGGTTGGGACAAGAAAAAGGGTCTAAATAGGATTCTGGTTGCATGGAAAAACTGGGAAGATCCATCTTCAAGTGATTTTACTTCAGCTGTTGTACAATCTCCTAGTCCTGAGAGTTTTATTTTCAAAGGCTCGACAAAATATTTCAGGACTGGACCATGGATTGATCGTCGAGCTAGTGGAGTAATTGGGTTGGCAGAAAATCCACTTTATGATTATGAATTCGTCAACAATGAAGATGAGGTATATTATATGTTCACACTCAAAAACACTTCTGTGGTTTCTATACTTGTATTGAACCAAACAAGTTTGGTTCGTCAACGCTTGATTTGGATTTCAGAAACGAAATCATGGAATGTTTACCAACACCTACCACAGGATAGTTGTGATGAATATAATGTTTGTGGCGATAATGGTTTATGTGCGCTTAATGAATCACCTATGTGTCAGTGTTTAGATGGGTTTAAGCCGAAATCGGCGCAACAATGGAATGCAATGAATTGGAGACAAGGTTGTGTACGTAATGGTAATTGGAGCTGTGGGGTGAAAGACAGAGACGGGTTTAAAAGAATTGCTGGTGTGAAATTGCCAGACACTGGACATTCTTGGATTGATGAGAAAATGACACTTAAAGATTGTAAAGCTAAATGTTTGGAAAATTGTTCATGTAGTGCTTACTCTAGCTTAGACTCAAGTGGGGCTGGTAGTGGTTGTTCTATTTGGTTTGGTGCACTTGCTGATCTTAGAATTTCACAAACTGGACAAGATTTATATGTTCGAATGGATGTTTCTGATATTGGTAAAGCCTTTCATACTGTCTTTTTTGTTGGTCAATTAGAGGATCATTCATTTTAATATCTCTCAAGAGTTTTATATAATCTGAATGTATCTTTATAACTAGGTGTAATTCTCACCTTAAAATGAATTTTGTAAGGTTTAAATAGACTTAACCACAATTCTAAAACCATGTTCGTTTGTTTGCAGGTGATAAAAATGGACATACTAAAACGATAGTATTGGCTGTTTCAATTACAGTTTCAGTAGTTCTTGTGGTGTTATTGGCATTCACCTACATTTATATTAAAAAGGCGAAATATAAAGGTAAGTTTCTTAACCATAGGCAATATAATGGCATGACATTTTATAATGATTCCTCATGTGATAACTTTTTCAATCAAGAGTTTCATGTTCTTTTAAATGTCACTGATTAAAAGATGAAATAGAGAAAGCCACGAGGTCAGAAGAGAATGATGAAGACACACATGAAGGTTTTGAGCTTCCTATCTTTGATAAAGCCACATTACTCAAGGCCACACATAACTTCTCTTTTAACAACAAACTCGGTGAAGGTGGTTTTGGACCGGTATACAAGGTAATATGGATAAAATATAAACCATGAAACTTACTATTTTATCAAATAATTTCAATTGTAATTATTTATAGGGTACATTGCTCGATGGACGACAAATTGCTGTTAAAAGGCTTTCAAAGAGTTCAGGACAAGGAATAAAAGAGTTTAAAAATGAAGTTATATTATGTGCTAAACTTCAACACCGAAATCTTGTAAAGGTTCTTGGGTGTTGTATCGAAAGAGAAGAGAAAATGTTGATCTATGAATATATGTCCAACAAAAGTCTTGATTCATTTCTTTTTGGTGAGTAACTTTTTGCAAACTGTAGTACTATTTGGTATAATATAATAACTTAGATTCTTATAAAAAAAATTATTAATGAGTTTATTGGACACTTTTTTATAGATCCATCTCAAAGCAAATTGTTAGATTGGTCTACACGATTTAACATTCTATTTGGAATTGCTCGAGGACTTCTTTATCTTCACCAAGATTCAAGATTAAGAATCATACACAGAGATTTGAAAGTGAGTAATATTTTACTGGATGATGATATGAATCCAAAAATTTCAGATTTTGGCATGGCTAGAATGTGTGGAGGTGATCAAATTGAGGGGATAACAAATAGAATAGTTGGCACATAGTAAGTATCTTAAATGATAACAAACTCAATCTGTGATTAATTGCCCATCTGTCTAATAACTGATTGTTTCCTTTCAGCGGTTATATGGCACCTGAATATGCAATTGATGGATTATTCTCTATAAAATCAGATGTATTTAGCTTTGGAGTATTATTATTAGAAATTATGAGTGGAAAGAAAAATAGAGCACTTAACTACCAAGAGCAGGATCATAATCTTATTGGATATGTAAGTACCTCTAAATACGATTCCTATCATATGTTATAATAGTATATGACAATTCTATTGAACTTTTGTAGGCGTGGAGATTGTGGAAAGAGAGCACTCCACTCGAATTGATCGATGATTCTTTAAGGGACTCTTGTATTGAATCTGAAGCATTACGCTGCATTCAAATTGGCCTATTATGCGTACAATACCATCCCGATGATAGACCCAGCATGTCATCTGTCGTTGTGATGTTGAGTAGCGTAAACACTTTGTCTGAACCAAAGGAACCCGGTTTCTTGATTAAAAAAAATTCAATTGATGGAGAACAAACATCTTCTTCGGCAAATGAAGTAACCATCTCATTATTAGACGCTAGATAAGACAAATATGTGAAATATATGGTCATATACAAGTTATAGATATTTGGGTCTCTTAATATTGATTTTTGGGTTCAATCTCTGACTGGTGTGTATAAAAAAACACATAGTTGAAGACTTCAACCACTTAAATTGATTTTAGATAGTTCAAAAAATTAGTCCATGTAATTCTGTGTGAAAAATACCTTAGTTTACCCAGAAGAAAATTATATGTAACAGAATGTAGCTCTTAGTTAAATTTAATGATATTTACTTACCATAATTATCCCATGATAAAATTCCTTTCGTTACAACAAATACTCATAAAGTAAAATTCTGTGTACCGGGGAAAAGTCCTAAAACATACAACAAAGACAAATTATTTGGCGGTAAATAGTTTTATCGCCGACAAGTTTTATGCGAGTTTAATTGGCAATTTTTCATGTGTTGGATAAAATTGTGGGGTTTTCTATACTTTTCAAATTGTTGACATACAAATTAGTGGTTGCTTACATGAGGAGATACAAAATAATTGAATAAACAGGCATACTAGGCGACAAGTCTTTTAAGGCGTAGATATTTGTTCTTCATTAGATTGACTTATGTCAGTCTACAGTCCACCAAACATTAAATCTATTGAATAAATAGTGCATGTTGAGTTACTACTAAACGCTTGCCTCGAATGTTTTTTCTAGGTTGAAGTATTGCTTTGCAGTCACGTCACCCCTGCAAAACCACCCATCTCCAAGCTAAGTTGTTGCTCAACAACCATGTAGGGCCATTTACCTTTCATCCAAGTTGTTGCTTGAAACACCCATGTGGCCACTTCCTTTCAGCACAACGACTACTTTACGCTCTTTTGGTTTTTTCTTCTTCTTTAGACTCGGTTGCTCGAGAGATCTCTTTTGAGAGAATTTGGGAGTGGTGCCTTTTTGTTGACACATGCAAAATTGAGCCAAAAAAAAAAAAATTCACAAGATATATGTGAAAACTATTAAATCATATAGATTGTTTTAACTTTAGCAATACGAAAGAAATTGTTCTGGACCAGTCCAATGATTAGAATTGACCCAATCCACTAATATCCTTGACACGATCCAACAAACAAAGGCTCATCATTTTGGTCGATCACGCTCCAAGAAAGCACGACCAGCGGTGCCCTATACGCACGCCTGGCCTAGACGACCCGTATCTCCCCATCAGTCCGACACGAGTCGAGCAGACGATCAAGAAACGTCCCGAACGCCCTTCTGCCTATAATCCACCTCCTCTTCGGAACCAGCGGCTAGTTACGGGAACACCTGCCCGTTTTTAACCGAGTCCTGACAGTTGTATATTTTTGCGGACCCACATATCTAAGCTCAAAAATAGGGACCAATGGCCAAGTGTCGGGGGCATTATATAAACCCTCACACATGTGAGGGCCAAGTATCTAATATTCAAACCTTAAACCCTAATATTATGTTTGTATCTCTTTGCTTCCACACTTACTTGATCGTCGGAGTGTCTTGCAGGTACAATCCCTCTTTTTTCTCCACAACTTTCCAGCAAGCCAAATATCATCCTTCGGTCCACTAGACGATTTTGATCACTTGTAAGATTAGTGGTGTCGTTTGTGGAAAATCATCTTCCCCGTTTTCTTTCCCCATTATCTGAAAACTAAAGATACTTTCAATCTTCCGATCATGGCTGACAATGATGATCATAACCTATGTGGAAAGACTGTGATCTCCCCGGTCCATAAGACCGACGGAAGCCAGTAATATCCTCACCTCGAGGATGATTTCGACGTCAGTGATGGACAGGTTGCGTCCCCAGATTCAATCGACGTCCAACGCGACGACCATCAATTCTTGGACGAGCAACGTCCCAAGAACCCTACTGAGGAACTACCGAAGATTTTGCAGTCAGTTCTCATTCCTCAGAATACCGACCCGACCATGACAGCTTTGCTTGTTGCCCTCAACTAGACTAAAACCCTTATCCTGCAACAAAAAAAATGATAGGGGTCTGGGAGAAGAAACAATCCAAGTCTCCTCCTTAAAGACACCAACGACACGAATCCTCCAGCATATCCCCACCTAGGCGTGGCCGTCCACCAAGAAAGGAGAATCACAACGTTTCTTTCCTCAAAAAGTGCAACTGCACACCTCCTAAGAAAGATCAAGGCTCTTCATCTTCCAAGAAGACGAAAAGAGACCGTCGGGTCGACCGCGTCTGATTACCGTCGCCCAAACTGAGGCAACAACGAAGAAGCCCCTCCCCTCGATGAGACAGCGATGCCCGATGGGGAAGGAACCATCACTCCCCGCCATCATCCTCCAAAGGAAGCGATGATGACGAGCTCCACAACCCATTATCAAGAGATATTACAGATACCTAGCTCTCAGTTGACCTTGAGAAGCCATCCCCGCTGGGAACATATGACGGTACGACTGATCCCGATGAACACATAGAGAATATTGACGCCCTCCTTGACTATCGGGGAGTGAGGGGCGCCATCAAGTGCAGACTGTTCCCAACTACCCTGATGAAAGGTGCCATGTCTTGGTACAAAAGCCTCCCAAACGAATCTATTACCTCTTGGAAGCAACTGGGAAAGATGTTCTCGAGGCATTTAACTACCTCTCACCGACATCCGAAGTCGTAAGAATCACTAGAAGCAATCATATAGGGAAGAGATGATTCTCTCCGAGCTTACCTCTAGAAGTTCAACAAGGAAGCCGTGTAGGTCTCAACGACCGATGACATGAAAAAATATCTCCTCAAGCGCGGGCTCCGTCCCCGCAGTGACTTCGCCAAAGCTGTTGGCATTGAGACTCCAGCCACGCTCGACTCCCTCCTACTTAAAGCCCAAGCGTACATTTAGTATAAAAAAAGAGACAGCGAACAACTCAAGGGACTCCTGACACAGGGAGAACGCCAAGTCCTGGAAGAACGACGAGCCCTCGACATCCCGTCAGGGGGAAAGAAGTAGCGGGAAGACAAATCCCGAGGCTCCAAAGATTACAAGGGGCAAGCTGGCTGTTTTCACGACTACACCCCCCTCAACGCCTCTCGAGAGCGTATTCTGACAGAATTAACTAATTCAGAATTCAAGCAAGCTGGGGTGCGCTTTCCCCTCCAAACACCGTCCAAGCCCGGGACGGATAAGAGAAAATATTGCAGGTTCCACAAGAGCCACAGGCACAACACTGGAGACTGCATTCACCTCAAAGATGCAATTGAGATACTTATCTGGGACAGATATCTCAAGCACTATAAGAAGAAGGATGGTGCTCAAGAAGAGGCTCAAGAAACCAAGAATGTCGAAGAAGGGAAGGAGTCCCCGGACGGCAACACTATTCTGGTGGCCATGAGCATCACCAGACTAGAAGATCTCTATTTTCCCAACATGGAAGAGGTCCCATTGTACTTCTCCTTGCACAGTCCTTGGGAATCCTTCCCAGTAGTGATGGTCATCTCTGGCGGAGGATTCAACAAGTGCATGATAGCTTCTATAAAAGAAGGTTCAACCAGTTGATAGAGGCCAGCTCTGACATGGACGCGACCCTTGACAAATTCAGAGGAGGCTCCCAACCCTTGCTTTCTACCGAGAAGAACTGTCGAGCGGGCCCCTAACTCGAGCATCCCACTCCTTGTGCGGGCACACATGGCATACTTTGACGTGAGACACATCTTGGTGGATTAGGGAAGCTTGGTGGACATCATGTACACCAAGCTATTAAACACCCTACAGCTGAATGAGACTCATCTGACCCCGTACGTAGGCTTAGATCTCCAGGGATTCAATGGATCTGTCACCAAACCCTGAGGATACGTCGAGCTGATTATTACCTTTGACAGAGGGGTAACGATTAGGGCCATCGGGATCTAATTTCTGGTGGTGGATTTCCTGTCCCTCTACCAATGCATCTTCTGAAGACCCACTCTAGCCGAGCTGATTGAGGTGCCCTCCACCGTGCATCTCAAGATGAAGTACTACACTACTGAAGGCTATGTCGCCACCCTCCATGGGGATGACCAGGCCGCGAGGAGGTGTTTCGAAGCATCAACCAATGGCCTGAGTTCCATCAATGCACAACCCTAAACGGACAGTGGATCCGCTATGCCCTTCAGTTACGAGGAACCCAGATCACTGCTGTAACACCCCTTCTAAATAACCCGCGAATATATTAATTAAATCAGAGTAACATGGAAAACAGAGATGTCACAATTCAGGATAAATATAAAACCTCAAATCTACAGTTGTCATGCTTTACTGAAGGAATTATTAAAATAAATATTCGAATCAACATCATGTTCTACACAACGGAAATATCTCAAAACCGGAATAACTTCACTTCATAAGTATTCCCAACATAAATTAAACAATAGAGTATAAAATAAAACTCGTCATTCAAACGTTTCCCCCAGTGTTACAACCTATCAGAGCACGACACTGACACGCGAACTTAAAATAACATGGCTCTAGAGCCATCCTCACCAACTCCTGAGCTGCTAACTTTAATCTGAAATCATTAAAGTAAGGGTGAGATTTCTCATAATTAACATGCATTATAAGTTTCTCAATCAACATCATATCACAAGCATACTATTTCACCCATTTTAGCATAAACTCAGATTCAACACACAGTTCCAATCATACAAGTCATTATGCACAAATCAATAATCAACCAAAGAATTGTAACACTGGAAGACATCCTAACATGTTACAATTCCATGCAACACAAATGCAGACACAATGCATGTGGTACCAATCACGTGACCAAGTCACCCATCACTGATCCATCATCAACCGAATACAGCAACCATCGATTCGTCCATAACACTCGAACATGAATCCAGCCGAAGCAATCATCGATTCGTCCATAACACTCGGACACGAATCCAGCCTAACCACCCATCATCTCTCGGGTATCGGTTAACGGCAATACAAGTCAAATTCCACACAATGGGAATTAACTTCACCAAAACAATGCATATGCATGCACATCACCAGCATGCAACAGCAAATCAATGGA